CCCATGTAATATCCTCTATATGATTAATAATGTTTCAATAAAATCACAATGGAGTTAGTCCATAATCCATTATACACTTTGCATAAATATGCGTTTTGTATTCCTTTGCGAACTTAAGTTACTATGCGTTACTAGTGATGTCCTTTATGACTTCGTCTCTTCGCGCGGCACACAGTCGTCCATCGAGTACTGAAGTTAAATGATCTATTATAGGACGTCTTAATGGGTCGCCATGCCAACAGTCCATCATTAGGGCATATCTGTATGGATAGTTTAACGCAAGTTATATATATCAATAAATATAACTTGAAGTTGATTGTTTGGAAGATTTATATCGAACGGCCGAATGATTGAATGACAAATAAATAARAAATAAATAAAGACTTTATTTAACGAGGGTGCAATACTAATTGTGGCCCTCCTAAACTAATACTAAAAGTATATGTAATCTTTTATTGAATCTTTTTTTTATTCTGTTTTTGAATCTTTTATCAAATCCTTTATTGAATGCTGGATTAATTAAAAAATGATTGATTGATGATTGATGCAACGATTGTACGAGAGATTAATGTGTCTGATCATAGCCTTACTTATATTTGTCATACTTACATCTCATTAGGACAATGTGGTGGTTGGCTCAACCTATAACCTTTCTTAAGTGTCTTCAGGATTTCTTTGGTTTGTAGTCCAGGAAATGGTACCTGACCTGAACAAAACATGGTATGTATTTAGGACTCCGTTCAAGCTTATCCAGATTACTACCGTTGTTCAATCGCATTTACCCGTCCGAACCCTCATGCAAATACGCTGTAATGGTGAACAACGCAAACGAGCACATGCGCTCCGAACGAGCAACTATATATTAGCAATTTTCAAAACTTTCCGTTTCTGACCGTCCACACGAAAACCTTTGCTTTGATGATCCATTCGTAGGAGTTTCGTGACAGAAAACGCCTTTTTCGTGTTGACGATGTATAAACGGTGGTTTGAGGAAAGTTCAATTGCTGTCGGTTTGAGGAGCTACTAATTTATAATTATAGCTTTTATGATCTAAAATATTAGGTAATTATTTAGCTACCTCCAGACTCGATTTCCCACAGCAACACCCCAAATGACCACCTGAAGATTGGGAATAAAGAAGTAAAGATTATAAAGACTAAGAATCCTATGCACCTTAATCAACCATAACAACGAACACCACCGCAACAACAAGTAAAACAATTCAACAACAACAACAACAACAACAACAACAACAATAACAACAACAGCAACAACAACAACAGCTGCAATAGCAACAACAAAAGCAACATCTAAAACACCACCAAAGACAACAGCAACAACAATGACAGCAACAGCAGCTGTGGTATGCATTTATCGTCAAGTCGTTTATATCATATAAACTTACACATCACTTTCCTTTGTTGCCACCAACGTCTCAATGGCTTCGATGGCCATCCGTTGAACTGGCAGTTTTTGCTAATGTGAACAAAAACATAGCAATATTAATGTTATTACAAGCAATAACATACACCCCAATTATCAAAACTAGCATTAATTACGGTTACCAAAGACACTGGGGGAAAAACCTCAATACACCATTTATGCATCGAATATTGTTTTAAACAAACGTTTTTGTGGTTCCTCTCATCTGAACAGGAGGGAATCACGTTGTTATACAGTTGTAAGAATATAAGTAATCGTTTCCGAAACGACGTCGCCTATGTCTCGGATGTACTTCGGAATCTTTTCATCAATGTCTCGGAAGCAGTTTTCAAACACTTGAGTACCTTGATGGACATTTCAGCATAATATCCGTTTTTCTCGGCGTACAGATCTCGCGCCAATCCAAAGTCTGTTARCTTCGCWGTCCTGTTTGCRCCAAGAAGTACATTGTGGGCTGCAAGATCACGTGGAACACACTGGATATGCGAGGAATAAAATAAAGCCAGTTAAGAATTAGTGACTGTGATACAATAATTATGCTTAWACGGAAAATAACGAAAAGACTGGAAAATGTTGACAAATATCCATTTSTTAYGAATTGAATACYACGAGTTCCGTCATGCTCCTTCACGCTATACTACCCACGAGGTAAATCATTACATCATYARCTTACCCGATGTCGTGCAAGGTGTTCCAGTCCCTTCGCCACATCCAGTGCGATCCTTATTTTATCGACCTTCGTTAGCAGAGTAACTTCTTTGCCCTCGTGTGCCGAGTTCATGTAATTTTTGCGCAAATAATCCAATAAGCAGCCATGTTCGGCAAGCTCGATGATGACATACAAGGGACCTGTATGAAGGATGTTATGACTATGACAAAAAATAGGTCATAGTGTCTATGAAATACAAAGGAGGAAGGAAGGAAGGAGGGAGGTTGGGAGGTAGGGAAGAAAAGAAGGAGGGAGGGAGAGAAGGAAGGAAGAAATGAAGGAGGGAAGGAAGGAAAGAGGTAGGGAGGGAGGGAAGCAAGGAAGGAAGGAAGGAGGGAGGGAGGGAAGGTAGGAAGAAAGGAGAGAGGAGGGGAAGGGAAGGGAGGGAGGAATGGAGGAAGGAGGGAGGCAAGGAAAGTAGGAAGGAAGGGAGAGAGGAATTAATATCAACTATTCAAACCTTCAACAGTACAAGCACCAATCAAGTTAATGATATTGGGATGTGCATCTAACGAGCTCATTATYTCCAACTCGTTCATTAAATCTCTGTAATCTTGATGAGAAGCTCCCTCTACAAACAAAACAAAACAAAAAAAAAAACCAACAAAAAACAAACAGAATTTTATAAACATATAACATTTTTGCTTTTGTAGAACAATCAAATATAAATGCAGTATTCTATTGCACTGCTTTACAATTCATGAGTGAAAAAAAAACCACACCGTTAACACGTGACGAACCTTTCAAAATTTTTATCGCGCAGTGCGTTTTGTCCTCTTTTAGGTAACCGCTGACCATTTGGCTGTACTGACCAACTCCCAGAAGCTCACCGAGCAAAACTTGGTCACGTGGTATCTCTCTAAAMCGGGAAGCTAACTGTGCCATCTCTAGACCAGTTGTRGCAAAATCTTTGCTTGGAACTGCAAAGTTATCAACCTTAAAGAAAGAAGGAATGAGTGATGTCTTCTAACAAGAAAACTTTTCTGGGTTGCAGTCTATTTCTTAGGAATCGTGTTATTCAACGGGTAATGGAACACAATTATTTCATTTGAACTACAACCAAATACATGGTAAAACTCAACGTTACTCGCTTTTATCGAATTCATGTTCTTAAGGATGTACGCGCGCGTCGACCAAAGCCCGAAAAAAGCGGGAAAAGTGCTGTGGGATTACCAGAGAAGCTCCGGTCTCTCTGGACTCTCTGGAACTTCCAGTTATGATCGCGCRGCCCATTTGTCATTTACTCTGGAATTTCCAAAGATCTTTACCAAATTTAAGGGGATCGGAGCGTCCCTGACGTCCTAGCAGGCATTGACCAGGCCATCTTTATAAGCCCTCTCTTACTTACATTTCGTCTTGTACGATCACGTTTCTTTGTTCCACGTCGTCGCGACCGTCGATAGCACAAGAAAACCACGACGACTACCAGAACAACGAAGGCGACGCCAGCAGACACCACAGCCCATTTAAAGTCCCGCCATAGCATTGCCAATATGATATCCTCTACAGTCTTTATCTTAATGATCTCACTACGGACTCCTTTTCCATAAACATTCACCGCTTCAACGGAAATGACGTACACTGTGTTTGGCTTTAGATTCTTAATGACGTAATTTCCGGTGTTTTTTTGAGTCTTCACCGTCGTCCAGAATTTTAAAGTATGTTGTTTGTACAGTATTATATAGGTATTTACGCCATAGTGTTTAGAGTGTAATGGTGGATCCCAGGCCACTGAGATCTGCGTTGCTTTTGTACTTGTGGATTTCAGATTTCTTGGTGGTGGTGGAGGGACTGGGGATGAATGATATTTTTAAGTTACGTGGAGTTGTTATGAAAATTCACTAGCTTTAATTGCATAATTGATTGATTGATTGTTGGACTAAATGATTGACTGACTGATTGACTGACTGATTGCCATTAATTGATTGATTGATTGATTGATTGATTGATTAAATGATGCTTTGATTGATTGACAGATGAATAAGCCACGTGCAGGCCATTATCTAGAATAACACAATTCACATTCAGGAGAAACGACGTTTCAGCACGCTGTATATTGTTGACTTGAAGGATGGTTGACCAATATAATAATATCCATACATCATGAATACCTACCCAGAGGAACTAATGATCCTGGATCAACCCGAATATCACCAAGAACTCCATTACTTTTAGAGATTTTATCAATGATAACATTGGCCATGTTTTGCCTGATATCAGGCTCGGGTTGATTGCTTGCCTGGTCGACTTTAACTTCAAAAAGAACTCTAAATTTGGCTTTGATGCTTCCGCTCCTGTTGATGTTGATTAATTCATTAAAAGAATGATCATTTTTCTTTATGACGTCATGCTTATTTCCGGTAAGATGCACCATGGGATACACACTTCGTCTTCCGTCAACTTTGTAAAGGCTGATTTACACGGCACGATTGTCTCGTGCGATTTGTAGTATACGACTTGAATCGCGCAGTGTAACTGCCCCTACGACTTGTCTACAACAGTCGTACGCAACCTACGGCTTGTAGTAGGATTTTGAACCACTGCTTAAAATCCTACGACTTGTAGTAGGAAAATCGTATACTACAAGTCGCGCGCGACAAATCGTACCGTGTAAATCAGCCTT